TGAGCGGTGTACTCTCAGACTTTTGCTGAGTAGCTCCAGGCTCAGCACTGGGACCAAACCAGAGGCCACATTAACCTAGTAACCATAACTCTTCCCGTTCTAGTGACTCCCTGAGACCCTGCCTCACCCAAGTCACAAACCACATAATGCTTTATCAGTGGTAGAATCTTAAGGGAGCTGGCAGGTGGAGCAGGCCTCCAGGTGCACTGGCTTTTTGTGGAGTTACACCAGGCCTGTTACTGATGACAGCCATCCTTGGTTCACTGTGTTCAGTGCAGACAATAAACAGCCATGGATTGCATTGTAGCTCCAAACAGGTAGTCCTGGCCAGTCACAGGCAGTGGCTGACCTGGGCAGGCACCAGAGCCTCTCCTAAGAGACCCCAGAACAAATATACTTGGAGGTTAGCTTCAGTCCACAGCAGAGCACCACCAAATTAGCCCCACAAGAGGCACACACAAAGGGTAGTCTCAACAGGCACCAGAGCCCACTTGGGCAAATCCTACCAAGTTCCCACACAGTAGCCCATAAACTATAGACATGGGCAAACCCCACAACCAGTCAACCTGAGGGTCAATCCCACCCACTGATATGCCAATAGCAATCAAGGCTCAACTATAACAGGAGGGTACACACAATCCAGACAAGAGACACTCCTGGAGCACCAGCTCAGGTGACCAGGGAGAGTCTACCACTGGACCCTACAGGACACCTCCTACAGAAGCCCACCCGACCAATACTGAGAGACATAGCAGATCTACCTAATACATATAAACAGACAGAGAGAGGCAGCCAAAATGAGGAAACAAAGCAATACATCCCAAATGAAAGAACGGAAAAAAATTTCAGAAAAAGAACTAAATGAAATGGAGGCAAACAACCTACCAGAAACAGAGTTCAAAACAATGGTTATAAGGATACTCAAGGAACTTAGTGACAACTTCAACAAAGAGATTGCAAGCATGACAAAGAACATAGAAACTATAAAAAAACAACCAGTTAGAAGTGAAGAATACAATAACTGAAATGAAGAATACATTAGAGGGAATCAACAGATTAGATGAAGCAGAGGATTGAATCAGTGATTTGGAAGACAAGGTAGCATAAAACACCCAATCAGAACAGGAAAAAGAAAAAAGAATCCAAAGAAATGAGGATAGTTTGAGACCTCTGGGACAACATTAAGTGTAACAATATTCACATCATAGGGGTACCAGAAGGAGAGGAGAAGAAGGGATTGGGAACCTATTTGGAGAAATAATGACTGAAAACTTTCCTAACCTGGTGAAGGGAATAGACATACAAGCTCAGAAAGCACAGAAAGTCCCAAACAAGACAAACCCAAAAGGCCCACACCAAGACACATCATGATTAAAATGACAAAGGTTAAAGATAAAGAAAGAATCTTAAAAGCAGAAAGAGAAGAGCAGTTAGTTACCTACAAGGGAGCTCCCATAAGACTGTCAGCTATTTCTCAACAGAAACTTTGCAGGCCAGAAAGGATTGACAGGAAATATTCAAAGTGATGAAAAGCAAGGACCTACAACCAAAATTACCCTACCCAGCAAAGCTATCATTTATAATTGAAGGACAGTTAAAGAGCTTCCCAGACAAGGAAAAGCTGAAGGAGTTCATCACCATCAAACCAGTATTACAATGTTAGAGGGACTTCTTTAAGATGGAAAAAAAAAATCAAAATTGTGAATAATAAAATGGCAATAGATACAAATCTATCAAGAATTAGTTTCACTGTAAATACATTAAATGCTCCAATCAAAAGACATAGGAGGGCTGAACGGATAAGAAAACAAGACCCTACATATGCTGACTACAAAAGACTCACTTCAAAATGATAGACACACACAGACAGAAACTAAAAGGATGGAAAAAGATACTTCATGATAATGAAAATGAAAACAAACAAACAAACAAAAAAAGCTGAGGTAGCAGTACTTATACCAGACAAAACAGACTTTATAACAAGAGACAAAGACCCAGCAATCTTGCTTCAAGGTGTTTCAACGAAAGCCAAAACGCTACTTCAAGGGGACGTGTGCATATGTCAATTGCAGCATTGTTTAGAATGGCCAAGATGTGGAAGCGGCCTGGGTGTCTGTCGATGGAAGAATGGATAAAGAGGAGGTGATACATATATATGAGGACAGACAATTAAGTTTGCGAACTCACCCTAGAAAAAGGGCTACATACCTCATTGCTGAATATCACTACAGTCACCTTTCAAAGTACTCCCCTTGGGAAGCTATGCACCAACGCCAGCACCTAGTCCACCCTTCCAAGCAATTTTGGAACTTGTTTTCTGGAATGGCCATTAGAGCTATTGTCTTGTTACCCTTGATGTCCCGAATGTCATCAAAATGTCTTCCTTTCAATATTTCCTTTATCTTTGGGTAAAGCAAAAAGTCATTGGGGGCCAGATCAGGTGAGTAGGGAGGGTGTTCCAATACAGTTATTTGTTTACTGGCTAAAAACTCCCTCACAGACAGTGC